GCATCTCTGCTTTCTCACACAACAGTAAGATGGCAGAACTAGCTCTCTGGTTTTTGGAAGAGCACAAGTCGATGGGAGTTAGCAACAGCCAGTGCTGTGGCAATTGTCATCTGCTGGCACTGTGCTGCATGGTGACAAGGGCTCTACAATGGGCCGGGACAGGAACTGGGCAGGAGGAAACCCACTGGAGTGGCAGCAGGCTGCGTGCTGTGCCTCTCTTTGTGTGGTTTGGTGGCCAGGAGCAGTTAGCTGAGTGCATCTCTGCCCCGTGGCATTTTGCCTTCTGTGAGAGGGTGCAGACGGGCTCACTTCACACCAGCAGCAGTGGCATGTTCTCACCCAGATCTCCCATTAATAGAGGGAAATGAGCACTGTCTTCCCAACGGCTGGATGCATTAGCAGGGCCAGGCAGCAGCCTGACACCAGAGCCAGGCCAGCTCTGCAGAGGCAACAAAGGCAGCTCTCCTCCCAGCCCCGGGCTGTTGCCAGGCAGCAGCACTCAGATGCTTGGTGGGCTGGCTTTGCTGGTTGGTGTCCGCTGTGCAGCTCAGCATCTGTCCAAACAAATGTCTCTGCAGGTGGGGCTGCACCGGTGGGGTGAGCGTGTGTTGGAAAAGTTGCCGTGTTTTTTCCAACAGGAGTGATCTGTGGGACTTGCTGTGGGCTTCTAGGTGGCCAAGCTGGTTTTTGTGGGTTATATAGCCACAGAATAAGCTGTCATGGGTCAGTTTTCGAGATGTGGTGCAGGGTTTCAAAAAAGCACTGCCGAGATAAAATCCAACCTCGAATACTGTTTGCAGCTCAGCCTGGCAGGTGCAAGAGCCATGCTCTGCTGTGGGCTCCTCAACAGTGCATCCTTCCTTCTGCAGCCTGCTGCTCAGAGTTGGCAGCGCATGCCCGCACTCAAAGGATGAGCCACGTCCAGGGCAGCACGAGGGGCTCAGTGCCTGGCTCTGAGCAGGAATGTGTTTCTCCTCAAGAGTGCAGAGTGCTGGGAGTGGGGCCCAGCGCCTTGCCCAGGCTGCTCTGTGAGCACTGCCTTAGCATGGGCCAGGTGGCAGTCAGGAACGCAAGGCTCAGCCCAGGAACGTGCTTGTCAGGGGTAAAATTACGGTGCGTTACGGCCAGGAGAGCAATGGAAGTGTCAGTATTTCATTACCTGTTCAGAATTAATTTGTCTGGCCTATTTCTGGACAGAACGTGACATGGTCACAGCTCTGTGGCAGTGCCAGCATCATACGGTCCAAGGTACAGTGGAGAACAAAGGTATTCCGGAGAGCACGAAGAAGTAATTTTCAGGCATGTACACATTTCCTATGTAAAACCTTTTGAAGCTTTTTACTTACTGATGGAATAAACTGTTTGCTGCCATTATTATTATTTTAATTAATGATAAAAACCAGGGCAGAAAGAAACTCTCTGCAGCCTGTTTGTTACCAGTGGCCGATACAAAAAAACTGAGATATGAAAGATTCTCATCACTTTTTGGTTGTCCAGGCTACGTGAGATGCAAGCAGGCGCACAGCAGAAGCAATGGAGAGAACCAGAATGCTCCTTCCATTTCAGGTCTCAGGAGTTTCATTATGCAGCACTGTGACTGTGCTTACCTTGAGCACAAGTGATTCAGATACTCGCATGTATGTCTGCACGCTTTGCAGAACTGAGTCTTGAAATATAAATCATAGAATCATAGAATCACAAGGTTGGAAACAACCTATAAGATCATCTAGCCCAACTGTCTTCACACTGCCACTGCTACCACAAGCACTAAACCAGATCTCGCAGCTCCTCGTCCACATGCCTCTTGAACACTGCCAGAGATGTTGACTCCACCACCTCCCTGTGCAGCCATTCCAGTGCCTGACCACTCTCTGAGAGAAAAAGTTCCTCCTTAAGTCTAACCTAAACCTCCTCTGGTCCAACTTGCGGCCATAATCTTCCTCTGCTCTGTGGTGTAATCCTGTTTTATCACTGCCCTTCACAACTGGAGATGTTACAGCATTCTTGCTTCCTTCCTGCAGCATTCCAGTGTGTTCCCAGCCTCCACTCCCTCCGGCCTCTCGGACGACCCGCAGTCAGTGTCACCATCTCCCAGCTACATGTGGTCCTCCAACGCTCCTCCTCGGTACTCACCACCGTATTTTCCACCTTTTGAAAAGCCACCACCTTATACACCGTAAAGAACGAGGGGAAAGAAGAGCGAAGTACTTGCCACTGAAATGATTGTGAACATTTTGTGTTTATATCTTACTGTGGGAGGAAGGGGGGGGAGTAGACACAGAAGATAATTGCAAACATGAATACTTGATTGAACGATTCGTTCTTGTGAGACTTATTTCAGAGGTTTAACAGTGGGGTGCGAGGAAGGGGACATACTGCTGATGTTTTCCAGGGGACCTAAATTGCAACCTCCTCATTTTACAGTGAGGGTCATGGAGTCCTTGGTTTTTAATAAAGCGCAGACGATAGATTCTGGTCTGCCTTACTCCATCTTGAGCCAAGCTGAAGTGAGGGTAGCCAAGATCCACAGCTGCCTAGGAGTATCATTCTGCTCGAGGTGAGGGTGCTTGCAGACAGCTCAACCTGATGCTTGTTTTGTTTGGCCTTTGGCCACCAGTCTTTGGGGATTTTGTGGGGCTGCAGAGCTTGGTTCACATCACTTGGTTACAGTCTATGGGATAGAAACCCTAGTGAGGAGCCAGGATGATGTCTTTAAAATTAATAAATAGAGGTAGCTTCATTGGGTGTTTTCTTATGTGTCTCGCAGAACAACTGGAATCTTTATTTATTTATTTATTAGGGAAAAAGCTTTAATAAGCTCTATTAGCTGATTTATTTGAGGACGTTTCTTAAGATAGAAGGTGAAATGCAGTTGTCTGTCTTCCGAATTCTATGTCATGATGCCGAAGTCAAACCGTCTGGGTGGCTGCACTGCCTAAATCTTCAGAAACTGCCCACAAGTCATTGAAACAATGCAGTGGATACACTTTATCTTTCCTTCTGCTTGGTTAGGATTTTGTTTTAAGCTTGTAATTTTAACTTTTTTAACGGGTTGAATCAGCACCTTGAATAAGCAGTGTCTTAGTAGCTGTGTTACGGGCTGCACATATGGAATTTCCACGACTAGTTCTCCAAGATGTAAGTCTCACATGGATAAAATTCAACACCGTGTAATATAGGATGAAGCTGATAGGAATTTGCAATTATCGTTGTGACTTTCATTTAATCTTCAGCTGATGACTGTGCTGATTGATCTAGATTCCAACAGATTTTGCATGCGTCCTGCATTACAAAAGAAGGTCAGCTTTGTTACGTGACACAGTGTCCTGTAAAGTGTGGTTCTACTCCAGTAAGTGACCTCAGATGACGGCGTTTAGATCTGAGCTGCTCAGCCGGAGCATTCCCAACTGCTTGCTTCAGAGAGAAAAAGGAGGTATTGACATCTTATTCCTTGTTTCCTAAAAATGGACTTTCCTTTGCATCAGATTGCTGGCCCTAATCCCAAGTTGCCTACATTTACATTCAGCTTTGGTGCAGACAAGAAAATACCGAACAGCTCAATCTGGTGTGCAGAATAGAAAATTGGTCCACGTGCCAGGGAAAAAATCCACAGTTACATATTAAGCTGTGACCTCTCTCTACTTTTAATCTGAAAGAAAATGAAAGCTGTCAAAATGGAAAATGAACGCTGAAGTCCCTGATCTCACTTCTCAAAGTACACCACACTTTATAATGCTGTTTTCAATACTATGCATTTGCGAAGCCTGTAGGCTAGTCTGTGTGTTAACCTTCTCATTCCACTGTCCACTGCTAATCAGTATGTTAGCCAGCTCAAGGATGGCACTTTTCTCCAGCAACAAGTGAAAAAAGTAGCTGGGGAAAGGAGTACAATCACAGGATTTGAAGCAGTGGTGTGTGCAGAACACATCCTGCTGGCATTCTGTTTTACAGCGGATAGTTCAAGCGCAGCTCTTGGAAGTCTACATACTGAAAACAACATATTAGAGTCTCATCCATTTTATATTATATTTTTCTGAGTGAAATCTTGTTCAAGAGATTGTGTGCGATTTCAAATCTACCCACAAACCTGGAATTTGAAAGCCACATTACACTTAAATCAGAAAATTTGATATTGCTGTATCTTTGAAATGGGAGGTCCAGTACTGTCCCAGTGCCAACAAACATGACACCGTTTGTGCCTGTCTGCTGAGCAGGGCTCGGGGGGCCGGGGCACCACAGGGCAGGACAGAGGCAGTTCTGGAGAGTAACAGAACTGAGAGGCAGAGAAACAATAAAGAAACAATTGTGTTATCGGGTTTGACTTGACAAGAAACACTGAAATTAGGAAATTAATGATCAGAATTCTTGTTTTCTAAGGAATATTTAAGCAAAAAGTACATTGCTGCTTTAAATTCACTGTAATACGATGAGGCCGTTGTCACGTTTTAAAAATTACCTGTTTGATTTTTCTGTTGAATTACATGTTTCCTTCTGCTCAAGTAAAATAAGTGTTTCATGTGAATGCAACCTTCTGCACTGTGGTCATCATTTCTTACAGGAATGTAGAACTGTGAACCATCTGTACCCTTTTATTACTTTACCAAGGTCAAATAAACTGGTGTGACTTTTGTAAGTGTTCATAAGCTGCATTCTGTGTTTTAGCAAGTTTCGTGTTTTGTCAGCACCTTCAGCATTCATTGAGGAATTCAGTTTAACTGAATCTCTTTAACAACAAACAGTATTTGCTGTATTGGGAAACTGGTGGTTCTACCACAGTGTTGATGTTTTTTCTTTAATTCTGTTAAGCCCCAGGTGCTCCTCCAGCTTCACTGTTTAGCAGCCCTACCTAAATGAGAAAGCAAAGCATTCCCCCCAGAAGCAACCTGTAGGGCATGCCCTGCTGTTCGGATGGAGCAGAGCAGTGGTGTGAACTGCTGCTCCTCTGACGAGTTGATCTGTTGAGTTGATCTGTCACTGAAAAGAAGCATGCTGCACATCTCTAGAATTAAACTTTTTATTTTTGCCATAGAAAGCTCTAAGAACTAATATCAAGTATTGATTAATGAAAAGTAGAACGCAACTTTAAAAAGTATGTTAAAGAAAGACTGTACAAGTATATACATTTCAGACGTGGCAAAAGTTAGCAGTGTTTCACATGGAACAGTTCATAGGTAATAGCTGTCAAACTCAATGCTCTGTGTAATTGTTAACTTCTGCATCTTTTCCTGAGCTGCATGCCTTAACGGTACAAAATAAATGAGCAGCCAATTTTTTTAATCTCCATTTTTTTATTTCATTCATTTACTGGAATGCTCTGGTATGAATCTCCAAAGAAACCATACAGTGCCAACGCAGTCCCCATTATTACATTTTGCAGCAGATCCATTCAGGTTGTTAGCTGTGTGAGAATGGCCATGAGGTTTGCTAGTGCACCTCTGAAATAGTTGAGTTTTATGCAAGTGGTTTTTCAGATTCAATCTTTTCCTTTCCTTACCCCAAGGCCAATTTCTTAGGAGTCACGTAACGCCTTTCATTAAGTTAATCTGGAAGCTTAATGTTAAAAACAAACAAATATAAGTACAATAGCCAGAAATCTAAATACAAATGCTCGTGGCCCTGTAAAAAAAAGTTTAAAAAGAAGGGATCTGATGTGTTTTCAAATCAATAAATAGTGCACTTAAAAAAAAAAAAACACTTTATGTGATCTCTGGACTTTGGATTTCAAAAATCACTTCCAAGGAAAACTGAAGCCCCTGAGACACATGCACACACAAGTCTTCTAGCAGAAATACAGTTACAAAGCCCTAACTTTCCAGTTTTCCTCCAAAAAGAGACCTTTAGTAGGTACAGTTTAAGTTTTTTAGTACATCAGCAGCAAATATTTGTAGCCACTGTTTTTCAGTACAACTGAATGCACACTTTGCAGCGCGTGCTTCACTCCATACGTGTCACATCCGCAACAAAACCACTGCATTCTTTCATGATGGTAAGCTCAAGACATTCCTATGTAACATGCAGCCAGCTATGCTGGGCAATCAGTACTTAACTCTTGTGAGGCTGCTGAAATGCTGTCTCAGACTACATCCAACATGTAACATCTGAAAGCAAAACCCCTTACATTCAAAGGGGTTGTGACACGGTCTGGAAAACAACCACACATGTAACATTTTTGGCCTACAAAACAGAAGTGCTGAGTATCACATGTAAAAAGTAAAGATTCTCCTCTTTCTCCCACCTTTCCAGCGTCTTTTCTTATAACTCAAGCTGTATTTGAACCATTCACTATTTAAATACCATGCATGTCTAAAATGCATGTCTAAAATCTTAACATTGAAAGTCAGAGGATCAAGATGCTTATGTGAAACATGAAAATGAAAAGGTTTAAGCAATGAGAGCAATGATAACTAACTAGAATTATGCACAACGGTCTTCCTCAGTAACTGCTAGAATTTCTGAACAGCTTTCATCTCATCATTTAGAAAAATGCACTAAGTCTCTAAATCTGAAGTGCTAGGCTACGACTGCTGTTTTTCTCAGCTTTCCATCTCTTGCTCCTGTTGGATTTCTCCTAATTATTTTCTAACTGTCCAAGAATTTAAGGAGAAAAAAAGGAGCAATAGAAGCAGCCAGTAAGAGCAAACAGATGACAAGTAGGCAATTGTAGAGATAATACAGTGGAGTATGAGGGATGGCAGGCATTTTCTGAACATCAGTTACATCATTACCATAAGATTACATCCCCCAGAAATGGGAGAATTAAAAAACAAAATTCCCGTTCCACTTAAAGATCTAACCAAAGACATACAGGAGATCCTCAGCAGCCTCAGCACTGATGCAGCACTTGGAGGATTTCTCCATTCTAAGTAAATTTCAAAGCCTTTGGGTATCATGGGGATTACTTTTTTTTATACCACACTGAAACCTTTCTTAATGGAGAGGAAAAAAAAAAAAGTTTATGAGTGTTCTTGATTCCTCCACTATTGAGCACTGACTTTTTTCCCTGATACAAAAAGAGTGAAACAGAATGGTCCATTGACTACCCCACTTACCATACTGCTTAGCACAACTAAAAGTGTGTTCAAGTTAGACCAAACTGAGCATCTCTCATTGGCAGGAATACCTGCGTGAAGACAAATGATTCATACTGCTTTTAAAAGCACAATTAAGATGCTAGTTGAAAAATGCACTGCTCCAAACTACTGGATCAGTCATTTTGGACCCTTGTGGTAACACTTATTCAGAAAAATAACACAATGGTTCGATATTGAAAACATTACCATAGAAAATCTTACTGTTTTCTTCATGAATCATGAAGCACAATTCAGCATTAAAGTGCTAACATGAAAGAAAGGGGTTATCTAAGTATGGGTATAGGAAATACCTTGAATTACTTTAGAAATTAGATTTCTCGCTCGTTAGGAGAAAGCTGCACCTTTTTCCAGCCACAAATCCTCACGTTCTGATCAAAATGAACATACTCGCAAACACTGCCAGCTCCTTGGAAATGTCTTAATCTGTATTCAAGTAAACCTTCCAATGAATCGCTTCCACAGATTATTTGCAGCTACTAACGACCCATCTAAGCACTACCATTTGATGACTTTGTCAAACAAGTTCACATTGTTCTCACTCTGAACAATTTGTTTTTTAACAGTTTGTTTATAAAACCTGCACTATGTACTCACTTTTCCCAGCATGTCAATAAGATTCTGGTATTACAAACTCAAATTCAGTACTACCCTCTGATTGATTTTGCTTAAAAATTGCATCGTTTCCCTGTGGAACAAAAATATCATCCCAGCTCATTTGTTTGCCTGGAGAATTAGATGTTGTTCCTTCAGTGCCATTCTTTGCTGCATCAACACGATAAACGATCCTATTCTCGTTTATTACCGGTAAGCTGCTCGAGCGATCAGAAATGTATGCATACTGTCTGATCTGCAAAGACTTGCAAGGATGCAGTCGATAAAGCTTGGTATCTCCTGAAGGGTCTTGGCTATGAACTGATCTTATGTGTGAGGCCATGATCTGATAGTTGATGAAAGACTTGCCACACGTCAAGCACTGGTACCTCCGCTCACCAGTGTGGTGAATTTCGTGCTTCGTACGGTATTCTGCAAGAGGGAAAACTTTATCACAGTATCGACACGGATACTTCTTCTCCCAGGAATGAACATTAAAATGTCTCCGTAAACTCGTCAGACACACGTACGACCTCTTACATACAATACAAATGTAGTAGACCCTTCCATCCATGATCAGCTCGTAATGGTCATCGTGCTTTACTTTCATGCGTTTCCTACTTGAGGAATCGCCATCAGATGTTCTAGGGGTTTCATCAGGCTTGGCTTTTCCTTCCTCAGGATCATCCTTAATCGGAATGACTATGTCATAAGTGTCCTCACCAATATTTGCATATACCTTGCAGCCTGTGGATAAGCCTTCTATTTCAGTTGCCGTATCTAACGTTATGATTTTCTGCCCTTCTCCCACATGTTTTGATGCTATACCTGGACCAAATTCCTTGTTGTTTCCAGTAAGGACATCTGAGATTTTTATTTTAAATTCTCCAGGTTTAGAAGATTGTTCTTGTGGAAACTTAACAACCTGTTTTTTCTGTACTCCTGATCCTTCAGAAGGTGCTGCTTTGGGTACAGAAGGCTGCTGAACCGAAGAGCCGTTGCTGACCGAACTAGGACTAGAGGAGCTGATGACATCATCACTGTCCTCAACCACCTCTTCTACATCAACAGCAGCTGTTTCCACTTCAGTTGAGGGACCTTTATCAGATGGCTTCTGGCTCTCCTCAACCAAATTAATTGTAGGGAGCACGTGTGAGGAGCTGACACTGGCTGAGGGGTTAACTGGGGGCCGATTCAGCAAAATGAGCTCAGTTGTCGAATGCTGCGGTGTCACAGGGACAAGCGATTCAGCACTTGACAGTGCTTGGTTTGGATTCAGCTGATTAGCAGAGGAAGTAAGTTTTTGAGTTGACGTGGCGCTAGTCGAGAGCGAGGAGCCACCACTGCCACACGATTTTTGGTCAGAAACTCCAGGTGCATTTGGGCAAGGCTGGTTCTGGATTGCAGCATTTGCGTCTTTAGTACATTCTTTTGGGGGAACAATCTCAGAGCAAAAGATGACATCATCATCATCATCTGAATCAGTCACTGTTATTTTTGGAGTCTCGTAGGCTATGCCATGTAGAGAGAACGATTCAGTTATAACTGGCATCCAACCCGTCACCTCTCGACCCTCCTGCCTGATGGCAGGTACTTGTGTTTCAGCATCCTTCTGAGTGGGGCCAGAAGCTGAAGTTTCTGAAGCACCATCTTTGACCTCGCCTGGCACGCTCCTTCCATCAGATGGAGCTACGGACAGATCAGCTAGGAATTTAACACCCAACAGCTGTCCCGATTTAATCAATTCATCAATTAAGTCGGCTCGAACAGAGATTATTTTGGAACTATACATATAATTAAGTATTTCAGCAAAAATCTCAGCTCTCACAAAGCTCAATTCAATTACTTGCCCGGCCACAGACAAAAGCTGGTGGAAATACGTGCTTGAGGCAGAAAGAATGTTTCTGTGAGCTCGAAACTTCCGGTCCTCCACGATAACAGTAACATCACAGAAAAGCCCATGGCCGCGTTGTTCGTTCAAAGACTGAAGGAGCGAACTAGAATACTGCGTGTCTGTTGCAGAAATCAGTTTTTCCCCCTCCATTCCTGTAAAAAGAAAGTAACAGAGATCAAGCAAAACCACAGATGTAGAGTTTTAACTGCATGACAGTACTTCCGCATTTACAGTTTAGTCCATCCTCTGCAAAAACAAACCTCAGCGTGAGGTGTTATTCACAAGCTCGTAGTCAGGGCGCTGTGCAGATGCGGTGTTTGTCCACAGGAGGCACGGGCAGTCCTAAATATGCCCTCTGCTCGCGCCAGGCGAAAAACCTGCTTCTGATTGAGCGGCAAACGAGGTAAATTTGAGAAGGAAGAAGACGCGAGACTGGGCTTCCCCGAAACGCTGGACGTTACAGGCACCGTGAATGCGTTCCGTGCAGTTACCAGGAGCTCGGGAGCACGCAGCTCTCGAAGGGCCGCGCAGCGCGAGCGGGGCAGGCAGCCACCCCGATGGGGCGGGCAGCGCCGCCGGCCCTTCACCTCCGTGCCCCACGGGCGCCGGTTTCGCCCCTCCTCGCGCAGCTCGGGCTCATTCCCGCAGGAGGCCGCGGCGCGGTGCAGAACCGGCCCGGCACCGCCTGACCTCGGCGCCTCAAAGGCCGCGAGCAGACACGAGCGGCGGCTCCCCGCTCCCGGAGCCCCGCACGGCGCGGGGCGGGCCGACGGCTGCTCGCTGCCCGGCCCCGAGCGCCCGCGGCCCGGCCAAGTTTCCCACGAGCTGGGGGCCGGGCGGCCGCGGGCAGCGCTGACAGACGGCGGGCCCGGGGTGCGGCCCGCCCGGCGCCGAAGGGGCCCCGCCGCGCGGCCAGGCCGTGCCCGCCGCCGCCGCTTCCTGCTCGAGGCGAGGCGGGCGGAGCGGCCCCCGGAGGCGGCGGGAGCCGAGGAGAAGGGCGAACCGCGGCGCGAAGAGCGGGGCCGCGGCCCGCCTTACCTGGCACCCGCCGCGCTGCCCCGCGCTCGCGGGCACCGGCCCCGCCGCAGCCGCCGCTCTTCGGGCTCGGGCGCCGCTCCCCGATCGCGACCGACAGGGGGCGCTGCGGCGCGCTGCCCTGCCCCGCGGGCCCGGCGCTCCGCCCGAGCGCGTTCGGCAGCCTCCGGCTCCCCGACCCGAGCGACTTCGGCAGGCTTCGGGAGCGCTCGGGCCGCGAGAGCGGGGAGCCGCCGCCTCCATCGCGTCCTCGACCTCGACGCTCTCGCCGCCTCGCCAGAGCCGCCCGGCCGCTGCCCGGCGTCGGGTCGCGTGCGACAAAGCTGTGGAGGCGCGGGCGCCGCGAAGAGCCCCAGGATCTTGGCAGGAGCCACGGCCCCACTCGTGTCGTCTGCAGCGCGCCGTGCAGGAGCCGCGCTCGCACGTCCTGAGACAAAGCGGCTCCCAGGCGCAGCCCGCGGGCGGCCATCCAGGCTGCCTCCTCGAAACGGTTTGTCAGCGCTCACAGAGCACCGACATCACAGCGCTTTGTCCGCGCTTCCTCATCTGCTCCTGTTGGTCCTACAGACTCCGTGGCTACAAATCATGGCGTTCTGGGCGTTTCTGAAGACTCAGATCTGCCAAGCCCTGATGGATGAAGAGCTTAACGTGAGCCAGCAGTGTGCTCCTGCAGCTCGGAAGGCAAATGGGATCCTGGGCTCCATCAGAAGAGGGGTGGCCAGCAGGGACAGGGAGGTGATTGTCCCGACTCTGCCCTCCTGAGGCCCCAGCTGCAGTACTGTGTCCAGGTCTGGGGCCCCCAGTACAAAAAGACAGGGAGCTGTTGGAGAGGGTCCAGAGGAGCCACAAAGATGATCAGGGGACTGGAGCACCTCCCCTATGAGGACAGGCTGAGGGAGCTGGGCTTGTTCAGCCTGGAGAAAAGAAGGCTGCGGGGTGACCTCATTGCAGCCTTTCAGTACCTAAAGGGAGCCTACAAACAGGAGGGGAATCAACTCTTTGAAAGGGTAGATAACAGGGGGAAATGGTTTGAAGTTGAGGGAAGGTAGATTTAAGTTGGATGTCAGGGGAAATTCTTTACTATGAAAGTAGTGAGGTGCTGGAACAGCTGCCCAGAGAGGCTGTGGATGCCCCATCCATCCCTGGAGGTGTTCAAGGCCAGGTTGGATGGGGCCCTGGGCAGCCTGGTCTGGTATGAAATGTGGAGGTTGGTGGCCCTGCATGTGGCAGGGGGTTGGAGATTCATGATCCTTGAGGTCTCTTCCAACCCGAGCCATTCTGTGATTCTATGTAATCCTATGAAGCATCCTTCCGTCACTGCCAACTGAAACCATCGGCACACCTGGCACCAATGACAGCAGTCCCACCACACACATCAGCAATGAAATGGTCCTGCCCAGCCTTTGGAGCCTTTCTAGGGAGAAAACCCCTTTAACATGCCCACTCCCTGCCTTTGCACAGCCTGCAGCAGAATTGCCTCTTTAAAGAGAGGCCTCAGATCACAATGTTACAAAACCAGTTTCTGTTTATTTCTACGCTTTTCCTGAGAGCTGAGCAAGGGAAAAAGAATAACAGGAAAGAATAACCAGGGGGAAAGGCAGGCACTCCTTCCTCATCCAACGCTCCCTTTGATTGTCTCCTTTGATACAGGTCTTCAGTCATCTTTACACAGGAAGTTATATCCAATAAAAGTAACATCATAAGCATTTTTTTCTCCTCCAAAAATGTCTGATGGTTCATATTAAACCATTCTTTAGCCTTTCATCCTTCAGATTTAAGGAATTTCTTTTCCTCACTGCCAGTCGCCTTTCTAAAAACTAACAGGAGAATATACAATAGAGAAAGACAAGCACTGATTTGGAAGGAGCAGTGCTCTGGAGTTCTCAAAAACGAGTTCTGAGCTCCTTACCCTCTGGCCCAGCAAGGCCTCTTTCAGATTAGCCTAGAAAACGTTTGGTGATTTAACTCACATAAAAATGTATACATTGACAAATTAAATGAAGCACTTCTTCTAAGACGTTGACAAGAGCATACAACTTAAGGTGGTGTTCAGGTAAAGCGGGTAAGAATTATAAAGCAGCTCTTATTTTGATGCATGGGAATGATGCATGGACTGGGGACTCTAAAAAAAGAGCTACAAATGTTGAGAAGTGACGTGTAAGCTTTTGTGAGGGGAAGTGAAGTGGTCCACAGTTCAGCACCAACTTCTCAGTTAAGCAATCTGAAGAGGCCTCTTTTTTTTTTATATAATGGAAGCTTGTGGGAACAAAAATTTGTTTTAAAGACTTGTTTTAAAGAGAGAGAGAGAGAGAAATGTTCTCTGTCATGAAAAATGTGTTTTACATTACAATAAATCACACTGGATGGATAGACCAATGAACTTCTGCTCGGGCACTTCAATAAAATCCAAATTAAAGAGTAAACAAGCCAAGTCTGCTTTCAGAAACACAGAAGTTATTTCACTGTGGAATTTCAAACATTTCTGCAGGAGTCTACAATGGCAATTCCCATCATTCATCCATCAAGGGATTTTCAGAAAGCTTTTTTCCTGACAATTTCATTATATAAAGCCTCACACAACTGAATTTCGAGCCCAGTGACACTTTCCACTGGCCGCAGCAGTAATTGCAGATGCTGTTACACGCTGTGTACACATGCATTGTATAACCCGTGTGTAGTGCTTCGTTTTACAGCTGCAGCAGAGCTGTGCAATACTCAGATATCCCAGTCCTCGTTTTGCCAGTGCAGGCACTGACGTGGAGACACCCATCGCTCTGCCCGGCGCTGAGTTGGGGCCGAATCCGTGAGCGTGGATCCACGCAGTACGGCCTCAGCTGGCGGAATGACAGCCGCCGCAGGCTTCCACCTGTCTCATTCACACGACCCTGCCGCGAGCAAACGGCAGCCACGCAGCGGCCGCGTAAATAACAGCCGTACTGTGGCCGGGCCGGGCGGGCGGCAGCGGGCGGCGCTCGGGCACGGGGAGCGGCGGCTCCGTGCAAAGCTCCGGCGCCGTCCGGCCTGTCCCCGTGCCGACGCGGCCTTCCTCCTCGGCACGGACCTGCGGTGGCAGCCGGTGTGCGGGGAGGAACGAGGCCGGCCCACGCCGACAGCCGTCCGACAGCGGCGGGGGCCGGACCGACCCGGGATCGCCGCGAGAGCAGCGCGGGGAGAGCGGCCAGCCGGCACCGGGGATCGCGCCCTGGCGAGACCCTCCGCCCGCTCGCTCCCTCCTCGTCGGGATCCGTTCCCCCCCCGGCCGCTCCGCCACGCCGCACAGCCCGGCTCCGGGCCCGCGCCGCCTTACCTGGCCGCGGCTCTGCTCGCGCCTCCATGCTGCCGGGCGGCGACAAAAGAGCAGCCCCGCCGCTGCCGGGAACGCCGCCGCCGCGGCGCCGTGTTGCCGCACGGGCGGCTGGGGCAATGCGCCCCGCGGGCGGGGCTGCCCCGCTTCCGCCCCGCGCCCCGCCGCCGCCCGCCCGCCCCCGGCAGAGCAGCGCAGCGCAGCGCGGCGCGGTGGCCGCCGGAAGTGCCGCCGCGCCTCCCGGAAGTGCCGCCGCGCCCCCCGGAAGTGCCGCCGCGCCATCATGGCGCCGGTATCGCGCTCTCGCAGCCCGTCCGCCGCCAGCCCCGAGCGTCGCGGCCGTCGCTCCCGGTCCCGCTCTCGCAACGGTTCGCGGCGCGGCTGCCACCGGCGGAGCCGCAGCTGGTCCCGCTCCCGGGAGCGTAGCCCCGGCGGGCCTCGCGCCTCCGCGCACCACGGGCACCATCACGGCAAGGCCTGGCCCGAGTACTACGAGAAGGAGAAGGAGGAGATCCTGCGGCAGAGGCGAGTACCGCCCGCGGAGCCGGGGGCCAGGCGGGGCTGCGGGCTCTCCCTGCACAACGGCACGTATTGCTGCCGGCTGGCAGCCGTTGTCGGTGCCCGTGTGCCTGTGTGCCGGGGCGGCCTCTGCCCGCTCGGCCGCTGGGTTGGTCTTTAACCCCCTTTCTCAAGTTGCTATAGAAAGTCGGACGTGCTCGCAAATGTAAGGCTTCCAGTAGGCGTTTGCTGCGTGCAGTGTGTCAGCCTCCAGTAATGGTGTGCTTCATTCCAGGAGACTGAATGAGAGAGAGAGAATCGGAGAGCTGGGTGCACCTGAAGTCTGGGGGCTTTCACCAAAGGTTCCTGACCCTGAGTAAGGCACAGTCTTACTTCTCACTGTTTTATTTTCTCTCTGGTTTTTATGATACCAATTCTAGAAGAATTTACAGTAATGCATTAGCCCTCCACTGCTCCATTCGCCACATTTTATTGTGTCAGAAGCATCTGAACCAACCTAAGCAAACTGTGACGTTATTCAGATAATCCCAGCATACCAGTTACACAAGATGTGACACAACTATGTGATTTCCTGTGGCAGGGGGGTTGAAACTAGATGATCATTATGGTCCTTTTCAGCCCAAGCCATTCTATGATTCATTCTGTACTGTAGACCACATGCCTGTTGTGCTGTGGTTCTGAAAGCAGTTGCTCTCTTGCACACGGGCTGTTGCACAGTTTGCTCTGTTGCAAGTACAGGCTCACAGTCTGCAAGCATGTGTATGTGTACATTTGATCTTTAGTTACTAAATACTACAAAATAGATTTTAAAAAGAAAAACTCATTTTTCTTCAGTTCTGATGAGCATACACCAGTAGAAGACGAAGAGGCAAAATCCAAGAGTAG